TTTTATTACTACTTTATTAATTATCTTATTTATTTAACTTTTAATAATATGCAAACCTTGCAAATCAGTTGTTCAATCAATCAATGTTTTTGACTATGCATAATTATTAATTTCTAATATATTAAAATGCACATTTATTTATTTAAAAATAATACATTAAATACTAATATCAGGCATATTAAAATCGTCAAACCCTTGAGAGTATTAGCCTTGCGTTTAATTTTGGAACTTTATCTAACCATTTTAAAATAATTTTATATTAAAATATAATTTATACACACTATTTTAATATAATACAAAGGATGAAAAGAGTTTGGCAGATTTAATTAAAATAAATTTTAATAATGAAATAATAACAAACAAAATTTTACAGCTTTTCGTATTACTTAAAAAATGCATAAACCCAAAGATGCACACGAATTAATTTCAGGAAAGTTTAAAATAAGAAAAAAAAAATAAAATTTCACACACAAGTAAAACTTCAGATAGTTTTCCTTACTATAAAATGTAAATTATACTTCAACTGGATAAGTCTGAATTATTTTTACATTAATTTAAAGCTTTTGCATAAACACGTATTATACAAAAATTGTACTTAGAGTTGAAATTAAGTTGTATTAAATAAATATTTTAAGAATTTTTAAAGCAATTCTAATTAAAATAAGTACTTCGTTTAATTTATTTATTTTACCACTTCAACTTCAAATGCTGATGTTATAAAAATATGTTATAAATATTGTTAACATTAATATTTATTATTTAAAACTAAATATTTAAAAAAAAATCAATATAGTATCTTTTTCTAATTAAAAATTATTTTTGCACTATGACAAGAGCTCTATTTCAAATGAAAAAGAAAAAATTATATACAACAAAGAAACCCATAGATGTTTCCGGTCAGCCCAAGAATTCAATTTATTAAAAATTTAAAAATTGTTTGAGTTTAAAAATTTCATCACTATTTTCTATTATAGTTAAGGAATGGGGCTTGAATTTGACTAACCATACAACGCTGTTTCGAGTTGGTCAGTCTAACTTCAATAAACTAACTAAAAATTTTTGTTGTTGTCTTTTCATTTCTATTTGAACCCTTTTTCGTTATAAGACGCGTCACTTTCAACTAAAAATGATTAATATTGACAATTTTAAAAATTTGTTAATTAATTAATAGAGAGGTTTCTAAAAGTATTTAACTACAACAACAAAAATTCTGTTTATACTATATATTATAAAGGCACAATAGATCTTTTAGGTCGCAGTGCACGATCCCTTACTCAATAATATATTATAAAATTAAATATTTATAATATTAATATTATAATTTATTTATAATACCGCAGCATCACAAAAAATTTGACTAACTTCAATATTTCGTAAATCGGTAGAAGTGTTACGAATCTGATATTGATAAGTACTTCAGATTCCTTCTCTCAACTGTAAAGTAGATCATATATTTAACTATTTAAACCAACTTTCAAAACAGTTAAATACATATACCAGACAGAAAGAGATAAAAAGATAATAAAAACAATACCACTATCAACGATGTGGTCTAGTATACAGATGGTTCCAAAACTGAACAGGGATCGGGGTTGGGCGCAGGAATCTATATCTTTGAGAACCGTATATTCGTCGGTGTAGGTACAATTAATTTGATATAATTTTATATTATATATAGAATTTGAAATTACTTTTTCTTTAGGAGTAAATAACAGATTTATATTAATTTTTTTTAAATAAATCGTTAACTTTAAAAACATTTACAAAGAAATAATTTTTCTCAATATGGTAATTTATTTATATTAATATTTTTCGATGGATTTTTTTTATTTTCGATTTGTTTTTAATATATTTTATTTTTTTTTTTGTTTATGTAAGAAATTTACTCTTTAAAAATATTTAATAAAATGTATTTGGTATATATTTTGTTTTAACAAAAGTAAAACTTTTCTTATCCAATTTTATGGTTTTCATCCGTTTTTTGGAGCACTCCAATTTTTTACTTTAAAGTTAAAAAAAAATCTAAAAAGAAATAAAGGAGAAATCAACGAAGTCATAAACCATTGGTAGCATCTGAACTTAATCAAGCACTATTTTTCCATATTTTTCCCATGGAAATAAGTTCACAGAATAAATTATGTTTTCAAAGGTCCTTTTTACACCCTAGTGCATAGTTTTGGTTTTATTCTATAGGAAAACCGCAGCAAAAACTTATCCTTTTGTATTTCAAAAAAAAAAAAAAGGAATAAAAATTGGAATTTTTATTTCATTTAAAAGTTTTAAATGTTCAAAGTCGATTACTTTAAATTTTGTTTTAATTTTTGAAATGCCATTATCAATTTTTTCAATATAGGTATTTTATTCATTTCATATACATTTATTTATTTATACACAACAGAATATTAACTAGTAATAATAAATTTTATATACTAGTATTACACTTTTATGAATTTAAAATTTTTTTTAATTTTTAATCTAAATGATTTTCATCATTTATATTTTAATAATACTGTTATTATTAATTTTGTTAATAAAACTGGTAATAATAAATATATTATTACATATTACAGTTATCTTACTTTTTATTATTTAATAAATATTATTTATTTTTCATCTGAGCTGTGATGCTTTAAATAACAAATTTTCAAAATTCAATAATTGGAAAATTTTTTAATATTATTATTTTTTAGTTAATCACAACTGAAATCATTGAAGTCACAAACTCACTTAATACTTTAGCGATCCGTCGTTCTGAGGATTGTCAATTCTTACTGAAAACCGTAGAGAAACTGCAAATTAACGAGTTAAGAGCAACGCGTCATTGCAAATAAAAGCACGCGATGTTTACTTTACTTACTTCTCCATCTCTATACTCTTCACCTTTTAAAAGCTTTTAAATCAAAAAATAATTATGATGATAATAGCAATTGCGGTTACGTTTAAATTAATAAAAAAAAATTATTTAAATTGTTCATTATTTAATGACCGCTTAGTACGCTATATTTGCGATTTGTCACTACTGACTTATAGTATAATAGATTATCTATATTTAAACAATAGACTTTATCTTTCCTAGGTGCTCTTTTTAGTTTACAGCTTTAAATAGGAATACGTTTTGGTGATAAAACTTGTATCTAATATTAACATTGCAAATATTTAAACGAAAGCTTTGTGATTTGAGTAAAACTTCTTGATTTAAAAAAAAAAAAATATTACTTAAAATTAAATAGCTTTGATCAAATCACAAAACAAGTTTTTTGATTTTTTGTGATATAAACTAGCACTTTTATTATACACAATTTTCTTTCCTCTAATTTTGCGTTTTTAGTGCTGCTAGCTAACAATTTGTAAGTTGTTTATTATAATTTATATATTTTAATAATGTTTTGAATTAACTCAGTCAGGCGTCAGTGGATTGAAATGGTTAACTTCGGATTAGAGGGTTTGAATTTTATTTTTCCATTTCATTATAAATGAAACAAAAATATTTATAAATAAATCCACTTTGTATGAAAGCATTCTCAATGTCTGGTGTAATTATTGTGCTTTCCTTAGTAAATTAGGTTGACGATTCATATTTTCTATTTCTGTTTCAATTTTCTTTTAATTTTTATCCCTCTTTTATTCGAGCAGTTACCTAGCACTTTTTAACATTGGAAATATTTATACTAACATTTTCTGCAAAATATTTTTGTACATTTTTTTTTATTTTCTTCTATATCCATCATATTGAAAAAGAAAATGATTAAAATATAAAATTTATACAGACGATTTCTCTAGAAATTTTTTATGCAACTATTTTTACAATATTTCTTTGAAGCATATTTTCTTTTATTTATTTATTTAACTTTTATTTATTTATTTATATTTTTTTTAGTAGTGTTATTAATTTTGTTTAAATAAAATATTAAAAATAAGTTTTTTGTTTATTTTAATACTACATATAATATTATTAATATTTTAATATTATATTAATAAAGAGATTTTTCGAATAGTAGTGAACTACAACAACAAAAATTCATTTAAAATATTTTAATTAATTGAGTTTTTAGCTAATAATGCAGTTGTTTCGAGTATTGCCAAATACCCATGATCAGTAGTCTTGAAAATAATTCTTGTATTTAATTATTTGTAAATAATTTTTTGAGACTGTAAGTACCAGGATTCGAACTCGTGCCTTGCCAAACTTGAAACTCAGAGTCAGTGCTTCTTAACCAACTGACCCAAAACCGTACTTGACTTTTATATTCGCACATTTTTCTGGAGTTTTGTTAATTTGTTGTGAAAGTTTTATTAAGAAATATATTTGCTGTGCTTATATTAGAACGAAATCAAAAACTAGCTATAGAATAATTGAATTAATTAATTTTTATTTTTAACTGTTAAATTTCAATACTATTATATTAATATTATATTATATCAATTAAATGTAAAATAACGATCTTAAGTCCGATAGAAAAACGAATAGATATAAACAGATGATGTCGATTCCAATATTTAAAAAAGTATTATCATTTGTTTCTATTTTCGTGTTTAAGAGGTTTTCTTTAACTTTGTCAGTATAATAGTTAATAATTGTTTGTCTGCATGTGTGAAGTGAAAGGGTTTGCTTCGTAATTGATTTTTTTTAATTTTCATTGTATTGCGAGTATTTTTAACGTTCAGCTTAATTACTTTTGTAAATAATTATAAGTGTTTTTATTTCTGACTTAAAACTTTTTAAGTAAACAGCATTCGTCTAAGTACTAAAGCAGTTTCAAAATTAATTGTAGATATCTTAAGTTTTTTTAATTTAAAATATATCTTATTTGACATTTTATAAACAAATAACACTAAGTATTTATTTAAAAAAAAAACCTAAAATGTAAAAGATTAATTTTCTAAGACAAACAAAGAAACGTTTTAAAATATTATACTTTAAATCTCTGTAATGTATTTATTTTTATTATAGTCCATGCATATATTGTAGGGTACATATAGTACCTCCATAATTAAAAAACTCACCTTTCTCGTTCGCGGAAAAATCCACGATTTACCAAACGTGCACGAGGTATAAGCTGAGAGCGTCGATGACTATTGTTAGCTGAATTAATTTGCAAATCGCTAAACGTTTCCTCACGTATCACAGCCAAACTGCGAGATCGTCTCAAGCTGCACGATTCACTACCAAAATCTATAATTTGATGTGGAGCCGCTGTTGCACTTGTGTGCTTCTGATAGATACTATTTGTGGAGTGATAATTCTTTTCATCGGCTAAAGTGCAAAACAAATAATAAAAATAAATGAGAAAAAACTAATTGTGAAACAAAGCAAAAAAAATTAAGAGAAGCAATGAAATTAAAACTAAAAGCTTTATTTTATTTTATATTTGAACTTGAATGTATTAAAAATGAGACAAGGTTAAGCTCAGTTATAAGTTTGTGTAGTTACTTAACTATTAGTTGAGTACTCAAAACTTAACTTAATTTCCCTTCACCAATATGCGACTACATATATATCCGTACATACCGTAATTACTATCTCTGTAATAATGTGTTTCGTAAGCTCTTAAGTTGGATTTTGTCTCTGTCTCAACGTTATTCTCATCATAATTTTCAGTTTCAGGATCAATTCGCCAGTAAAATTCAGCTATGTCGAAATTGTCATTGGAGCGACCGATATGGTTGTAATCCAAAGATCTAGAATGACGCAATTGCCGGTTGTTTGACCATTGATTTATGCCAGCAGCTGTACTGTGACAGCTTGTGGCTAAATCAAGATGTGAAATTGATTTATTGTGCCGCCAACCAGAACCTCGCGTTGGGTACTTATTATCTTGAAGCGAACCTTCTGCCAAACGAACTCGATCCACGTAATTAAACGTGAATTCTTTGGTTTTTCTAATGAAAATAAAAACAAAAAAAACACCAAATTATTTATTACATATTTATTATTTAAATTACATATTTAAATTATGAAATATGATTGCTAAATTTTTAAGGAAATGAAACATTCATAAAATTTTAAAGTTTTAATTAGTTTGTGCCGGGTTGTTAGCTCAATGTTTTACACATGTTATTAAATTTTTATTAAAGTTTAGTTTATTTTTAAAATAAATTATTGTAGCTCTTCTATTATTCATATTATATTAAAATAAGTATATTTGCACGTGTTAATTGTGTATAATGAATTTATTTAATTAATTTTTTATTTTGTTTAGTTTTTTTGTTATGATAAGAATTAAGTAAATTAATTAAATTAAGGTCAATGTACGAGAACGGCATTAATTTACAAAAAAATGTTTGAATAATTACTTTTATGCGAGTGTTACTGATATAAACTAATTGATTGCAGTTTTTTAATTTAATATGAAGTAAAAATGTTAAATGCCTCAATTTATTTATTGACATTACATTGAAATAAGTACATCAAGCATTTTCACTCATAATCGTTTTGTAATCGTATATAAAAAATAATATTGAAAAAAAAAATTAAGTATTTATAAACCCCAAAAGATTTTAACACATAGAGAAAGAAGACGAACAATTAAGTAACTCAACTAATTTTTTTACAAAGATTAGAAAACATCGAACACAGGTGGCAACTACTGAAATCGCCTTTAACGGTATGATCACATGCCCTACACTCAAGAAAAGTAAAATCTGTATCACTTAATCTATTTTCTTTACTCTGTCTGATTAAATTAGTCCCCACGTAAGTTGCAGCAAACTAAAAAATAGTTGAGACAATTGAATAATTTTGGCAATTATAATTTAGAGCTAATGTAAGTATAGCCCCCATATATATATATTTCTTTAAGAACTCTGAATGAAATATTGTTTTTTAGAAAACACGTAAATACAAAAAACAGATAATAAATTACCAAATTAAATAACTATTCAAATATTTCATGGCGTGTTGCGATGTGAGATTTAATATATCATAAAAGAAAAGCTGTAATTTTGTATATGTATTTAAAATTGAATTAATTAATTGATTATTAATCTTTAAGAAATTAATTAATTAATTAATTGAATATTGAATTAACCATTTGTATAACATAATAATGATTTACTTAGATTATTCTTGGAATGGCTAAGCCTTTGATGACACTATCGTAATGCCGTCACTGTGGCATATTATAAAAGGGGCAAAGCAAAACAGTGTTATATTCTTATTATATATATTTATATAATATATATAATAATATTATATATATTATATATATATATATTATATATATATGATATTTATATATTTATACTTTAAAAGTAAATTTTCTCATCTGTTCTTTTAAATAGAAAGTATCTTTCGA